CCGACAGTGGGGCTCAGTGACCTCTGAGTCAATCTGATCTTGATGCCAGGGGCTTTTTTATGTCTATGGCTGAGTGGTTTTCACATTCCTTTGAGGGTACTAAGTTCTTACAGTCTAATCACGAGGCACCAAAACTCCCCCTTAGTTATTTAAAATATAGCATTTCCTCAAGGGTTGGTAAAAAGTCTTTACTAAAGATGATATCCAGCCTGGGCAACATAGTGAGATCTCATCTCTACAAAAGAAAAAATAATTAGCTGGGTGTGGTGGCGTGCACCTGTAGTCCCTGCTACTTGGGAGGCTGAGGCCAGAGGATCACTTGAGCTCACGAGGTTGAGGCTCCAGTGAACCATGATTGTGCCACTGCCCTCCAGCCTAAGCAACAGAGTGAGACTCTGTCTCAAAAACACCCCAAAATCAAACAAAGATAATATTTTCCTAGTGAGTTTATATAAAGGTAACCACAGGCAAATGGCTCAGTGCTGGTGGTTGTAGGGTAGTAAACTTGGGGGTACATTTCTCTATTGGTAAATATTTGGATACTACAAGTTTGATGTATGTCTGATCAATGTATTAAACTAACTGATCTCAAAAGTGTGTAGTCAGGAACAAACTTTTTTTTTTAATCTGTCATTGTCACAGTTATATTATATCAGAACTATATAATGTTGCCAATCTTCAGGGTTTTAAAAAAGACAGCTCCCTTGTCATGTTATAATGAAATTCAGCAACTCTATTTTTGTTTTCTAATTTGCCAGTTAAAAAGGGAAGTTTACCTGAGTCAGAAGATCCATCTCTCCCAGCAAAGTGCTGAACATTTGGTCTATGTCTTCACTTGACTCACCCATCTGAAAAAGGAAGAAGCTGAGATATTAGCAGTCTCATAAACCCTGATCCTAGGATACTCTTTGCATCCCTCTCTTTCCCCTAAGAGCCCCATCTGTGGGCAGCTAAGTTGGGAGAGGACTATACTGAGAGGAAGGCTCATGTTAGCCTGAAATTTCATGCCTGGCTTCTATCCAATCCGCTTGATCTAAGATTGTGCCAAACCTTGGGGAACGCCTCAGAGCCACAGTTGTAATTTTCCAGGCTAAACTAGTCTTCTTGGGGCCAAAGAAACAGGCTGGGCACGGTGCCTCATGCCTGTAATCCCAGCACTAGGGGAGGCCAAGACAGGCGGATCACCCAAGGTCAGGAGTTCGAGACCAGCCTGGCCAATATGGTGAAACCTCATCTGTACTAAAAATACAAAAATTACGTGGGTGTGGTGGCGGGCGCCTGTAGTCCCAGCTACTCGGGAGGCTGAGGCAGGAGAATTGCTTGAACCCAGGAGGCAAAGGTTGCAGTGAGCCGAGATCGCGCCACTACACTCTAGCCTGGGGGACAGAGCGAGACTCCGTCTCAAAAAAAAAAAAAAAAACAAAAAAAACCCAAACAAACTTACATGAAAATGATGTGAGGAGTGATTAAGCATATTTACCCAACAATTTCCTGCTTTCAAAAGATATTTCTGAAATAATAGTTTTTAGTACATTTATTTAGAAGTACTAGTGGACAAACACTTAGAACTTAAATGGCCACCCTGTCAAGTGAAAAGAGATAGAAAGAAAACATGTTTTTACATTTTCAACTTTCTTTGCCTAAACCAAATGAAGCAATTGCCCAAGAAGCGGAAAAGTTTGCGACAAAATAGGGTGGGATGCACTGTGAGTCGCAACTGGCTGCTCTGTTTCCTGACATTTTTGGCAAGGCTAAATTGGGAAGTTAGGAGACATTACTAGTCCTTTGGCCACTAACTAGCAGTATGTAGTTTGGCAACGGTAATCAATTGTTTCATCTGTAACATAAGGAATTTGTTGCAGACCATTTCTAAGGGCATTTCTTTTTTCTTTTCTTTTTTTTTTTTTAGACAGTCTTGCTCTGTCACACAGGTTGGAGTGTGGTGGCACGATGTCAGCTCACTCCAGCCTCCATCTCTCAGGTTAAAGCAATTCTCCTTCCTCAGCCTCCTGAGTAGCTGGGATGACAGGCACCCACCACCACGCCTGGTTAATTATTGTATTTTTAGTAGAGACGGAGTTTCATCATGTTGGCCAGGCTGGTCTCAAACTCCTGACCTCACCTGAGGGTGATCTACTCGCCTCGACCTCCCAAAGTGCTGGGATTACAGGATTGAGCCACCTTGCTCAGCCTCTAAGGACATTTCAAAATGCTCTAAAACACTGTAAGATTAATGCCAATTATAGCTCATACTTAGAAGTCTGGTGGGTTTAGAGAATCAGTATGTAATATTTAAGCCAAATCACAATATTTACTTGAATATGTACATGCATGCATATTTATGTCGTTCTTTTAATTTGGAAATTAAAAATATATACAAAAGCAGAGAGAATAATGATTTTCATGTACACATTGTCCAGCTTTAATAATTTTCAACTGGACTGATCTTTTTCCATTTATATCTTCCTACAACAGATATTTTAAAGCAAATATTATTTTTCCACAAATATTTCAACATGCAGTACTAAAAGCTAAAGATACTTTATTTCTTTTTTCTTTTCTTTTTTTTTTTTTTTTTGAGATGGAGTTTTGCTCTTGTTGCCCAGCCTGGAGTGCAGTGGTGCCATCTCACGCCACTGCAACTTCCACCTCCCAGGTTAAAGCAATTCTCGTGCCTCAGCCTCCTGAGTAGCTGGAATTACAGGCATGTCCCACCACACCTGGCTAATTTTTGTATTTTTAGTAGAGACGGGGTTTCGTCATGTTGGCCAGGGTGTTCTGAAACTCCTGACCTCAGGTGATCCGCCTGCCTCAGTCTCCCAAAATGCTGGGATTACAGGTGTCAGCCACCACGCCTGGCCGATAAAGATACTTTCTAAATCATAACCATAATACTATTGTCCCTTCGTGTGTGTATTTAAAATAAACTACTTGGCTGAAATAGGCCAAGTTGAGGCAAATCTACCTTTCCTTGAATAAACTATCTTGAAAACTTGTAGTTCACCCTTTAAGTGACTTTAATACTTTAGCAGTCGCATATTTTTATTTTTAATAGCTTTAGTTATCAGGGTGTCTTAGTCCTTTATTAAATATGTCTATGAAACAAACTTTGTCACACTAACTTTGCTTTCTTAAAAATGACTCAAATGACCTCCTTCCCCTTCTCCTTCTCCTTCTCCTCCTTCTCTTTCTCCTCCTCCTCCTCCTCCTTTTATTTTTGAGACAGAGTCTCACTCTGTCTCCCAGGCTGGAGTGCAATGGCTTGATCTCAGCTCGCTGCAACCTCTGCCTCCTGGGTTCAAGAAATTCTCCTGCCTCAGCCTCCTGAGTAGCTAGTATTACAGGCACCCGCCACCATGCCTGGCTAATTTTTGTGTTTTTAGTAGAGATGGGGTTTCATGATGTTGGCCAGGCTATTCTTGAACTCCTGACCTCAAGTGATCCACCCACCCAGGCCTCCCAAAGTGTTGGGATTACAGGCGTGAGCCACCACACCCAGCCAAATGATTTTTAAGATATCACAATTCTTAAAAGTGAAGTGATGTAAATGATGATGATGACGATAACAGTAATATTTATCTGCCACTAACTCTGTTGCAAGAGCAACAGAGTTGCTATTAGCAACATTTAGCACCCAGGATAGCATTGACGCTGAGCAATCAGAACAGATGAGGCTGTAAAATCATTTTGGGTGAATCAGTGCATATCCTCCAAATATCCACCCTGCAAAGCTAGCACTTAATCTTCCCAAATTATCTTCAACAATTATCTTGGGTTTATCACTTAGGAAATCTGACATAATGAAATCTTCTTGCTTAATTTTTCCATCGTATATTTCCCCCTCTCCCTATTTTAAGAAGAAAAAAATTATTTTCTTCTCCTACATAACCTTATCACCCTCGCCGAACAGGACTGAAAACATTTTCCATCTGAATTTTCTGCCCCCTGCAGTGGCTTTTCTTTTGCCCTCCTTCTAGTCTCTCCCTCGTGAGAAACACAAAAGCTACCCTGAGCTGCGGGTCACTGAGGGTATTGCATGGTCATTTCGAGGTTTAAGTTTTGCATGTTTTATTTTGGAGGACGGATGCTTGAATTGCTATGAGATGCATTAATTTTCTCTAGTGCCCTATCTGGCATCCAGTGTAGGAGGTGTCTTGCAGGAGCACAGGAAATTGTAAAACTGTGTTGGCCGGGAGTCACTGGGAGGGGACAAGAAGAGGTCTTTAGTTAAGAGAGGTCTAGATTCCATCGAACTAGCACATTTCCTAGCAGCAAATGCATCCCAAAGAATCAGGTGTACATACACGTGGGACAAGGAGGTGTGTGTTTGAATCCAAGGAAGCCACTCAGTGAATGCTAAAGGTCAGACCACACAGAGCTGACAGGTGAGCACCCAGGTATAGAAGCAACAGGTGAGAAAGAAAACAAAAGTCTAGGTCTATGTGTGCAGGGAAAGTCAGAGAGGAATCAAACACAGCATCAGTGAAGGATGATAGAAGATACTTGGCCTATTTTGTGTGTATTGTTGGGATTAAAAAAGTGTTTATGGCAGCTAGAAGAGAGGAAGATGGCTGCAGGTGGGCGCCGCCCCTGTTTCAGGAGGGAAGTCAGC